CTGAACAACCTTAGTCATTATGAAACTCTAATAATTACTGCTGTTAAGGGAAAAACAAAAAAAAAGGAAAAAAAAAGAAAGAAGAAAAAATGCAAATCCAACAGATTTCAGCTTTCCCTTTTCCACATGTATCGAAGCCTTTCTTGAAAATACAGCTTGTTTTAGCTTTTTGTTTCCAAGACAGCAAGAAGCTGTATTCATGCTTATTCTTGGAGGTCATGGACTTGATTCCCTACTGCAAAGATCTTTTCTTGTCATTTGCCCCTACCCAAGAGCCATATGTAGTACTTCTTCATTAGAGTGATAAAGATTATCTATCTTATACTGGAGAAAATAATTGCACATGGAATCAGAAGCCAGGAGGAAAATGAGCAATCAAGTACACATCTGTATTTATTTTGAGTTTTGCATATGCTACCTTTAATGCAGAATAAGGTTTGATATTCTGTAATGCAGCAGTTTATCAGCCAGACATGTCCTTGTAAATTAAACTTGCCCAGAATAAACATCAAAAACAACAGGCACCTTGTCTGGTTTTTATTTTTCATTCTGAGTGAAATGAGACATAACCCCAGGCACAGAATGCAGCAACACGGGCAATGCTAAGTTCGTTCCTCTGCATTACCAATATCTATATTAGGAAATAATGAGTTGGAAATCCTGGAAGCAGATTTGGAGGGTTAACATTCTACCCTCCAGGGTGACTTTCCTGTAAGAATTTGCTAATAGCTGAAGACATTTTGTCAGGCAGGATAGATTAGGATGTGTACTGGGATGGAAGTATTCAAGCGCTATTTCATCTGTCTTTCTCTCTTGCTCCTCCTATTTCAACTATGAGGAGCTTCCTGTCTGAATGGATTGCAATGGCTATCTCTGTATTTCAGATAAGCTTAAGACTCATGTAAAATGTGCTGCTGCTAATTAGTCAAGATGTAATTAGTCCAAGAAAATTAATTGTACATAAATAATATGGAATTTCAGCTTCATGGCTCGAGAGATAAATTCAGAGCCTTTTCAGAGTTGTCTGTCTTAAAAATAAAACAGCAGAAAAGGATTATTAAGGACGATCTTCAAAATTCCCATTACCCTGCTAATGAAGATTTAACACATTGCCCAGAAGACATGGTTGATCTGCACTCCGTAAGGTCCTTCCACCATGTCGGCATTTGCGTATCCCCAGCTGCTCTCATCAGAGAGGAAGCTAATAGTGACTTTGAAGAAGCAACTTATCTGCCTCCCAACTGAAAGTAAAGCACTGTAAGTACAGTCCATGCACAGCAGTGGGTAGGTAATTAAGAGTGTTCTTCTTCATTAACTGGACTTCAAGTGAGCCATCTCTGGGGTGCCTACCACAGGCTGCTCCGACCTACCTGGAGCTGTTAGAGTAATTAAAGTTCACTACAGGATTACATGTGTCAAGGACTGCAAAGTAGAAAGGTGAAGTTTGACTTCATTTCCTATAAAGCTGCCTGGTATTATTTCTGTTATTCACTGATACAGTTTTTCAGTAACAGACAAGGACCAAGTCCGGGGGTTGAGACTGTATTATTGTGATTGCAACACAGGAATATGTATTGTGTGCCCTCAGTTAAAAGAGGAAGCCTTTTCTATGTACTCAAAACCACTATGAACTAATACCACGATTGGTTTGGAACTTGCCTTTCCCAACTTTTTTCCCTGATATTTTTATCTTATTTCTTGATGAAAAGAGGGACACTTCTTTTATCAACCCCCCAGTCCTACATGGATTAGACAGAGTATAAAGTCTACAGGAAATGTCAACATGTGAGAATAACACCATTTCAACACCCACCTCACACAGTTGCAAAGGATTGCACAGGCAGAAGGCTGCAAAGAGTCAGACTCATGGAAGTGGGTACATGTATCTCATTTCTTAAGAACAGTAGGTTTTGTGTTTTATAAGTTTTGGTTAGTCTCAAAAATACTCTGATTGGTTGGTTACAGACTGAAATGGTTTCTGGGCTTTGTTTAATTGAAAATGATATATAGAGTTATATCATCATCAGATCTTTAAACCAGTTTCAATCTTCTGTATTTCTTATCAAAACCTCCTTTTATCCTCTATAAGACCATGCCTGTAATATTTATTCATTTTGAAAACACCTCCCAACTTTCCAGTGGATTGAAATAACTAGATGAGCTAGGTTAGAATAATGTATATTTTATTTAAATTCATGGTCTAGAACTTCGTCTTTCTAATCTGAGTTATCAGCAGATACTGGTGCCATTTAAAATCCCATTCCATTCTCTCTTCTCAAGTTAGAAAGCGATTTCTCCACCACACCATCACTATAGTTAGCTAGAGCTTCTAGAGAGGATAAATACAAAAGGATCAAAATCTTGTACGACACAAAAAAGATAGTTTTGGATATTAAGACATGCTCCCCTCTATTCCAGATGATTGTTAAGTTCTCCTGACAAGGATAAAAATGAATAAATTAATTTGTGAAGATATAGGTAGTAAATCTTAACCAACTTAGATACATACCGTTCAAATTTTTTGTTGTTTAGCACTCCTTTTCCATCCTGGTCTTTGAAGATTAGCTCTGTTGGTTTTCTTCATATTTTTTGCCTTCCTCCTACTTTTCCCTATAAATAGTCCTCATGGCTTATGCTTTACAATACTTTTCACACCTATTTGGTTTTTAATTTGTCCCAATCACTTACCAAGTTTCAGAGGTACAATCTCCGCTCCATATTAATCCATTGTTTACCTATTTATTTAATAATCAATGGCAGTATTATAAGGTAACATTTTTGGAAATAACCTAGTTCTACACAGTGGACAATTATTTCACTGGCCAAAATTACACATGCTGATAGTCTGACTTCAGATTCCTAACTGGTATGTGTCATGTAAAATAAAATGATACTGTTGGGTTTCAGATATTTGGAGGGGAATAAATGGCCAACCTAAGGTAGGTAGTATTTGATTGTAAAATATGTATATATGTATAAGAAGATTTATCTATAACTATTAATCTATACGATTAACTTTTCTATCCACAATTCAAACATGGCATGAATATGTGCAAATATTTTATCAATAAATGGAAACATAGCATATGAATTTATGTTTAGTTATTTCTGGGTAGTAGAACTTCCCCATACTCTTACCAGTACACACAAACCTGCTTTATAAGAATTACCCCTTCACAGCTCTGAGATGAGCCGCATCCCAGTGGCTCCAGAGCAGCAGATGGCCCCTCTCTTACCATGTCTGAGTAGTGCTTGTGCACAGCCGCAAATCTGTTTTCTCATCCTTTTACAGTCAAGTAAGTTCTGCAACGACAAGAAAGAGGGCAATTTTGGTTAAAAGCATATCTAGCTCAACAGAAAATCTGGCAAATGGGGAGAAAGGAAGTTATACAATCGAGAGCAATCAGAAAATTATTTTGATGGGTGATTACCATCAGATTGCAATGTTTCTACATGGATCCACAGGGCTTGGTATGAGCCCAGATGCAATTTGACATTTGTGTAAAATCATCAGTCCACATAGAAGAACATCTTATGAATTACATGAGTTTTTGTAATATGCTGAAGAAGGACTGAAGGGATCAAGTATTTTGTTTTCAGTCACTGAATACAATGGATCTCCAGCTCAGCCAGGGCTGTCAGCTGAAATCATGCCACTTTGTCTTTAAAATGAACACATCAGAATACACTTCTGGCTCCAGTCTCTAGAGCTAGGGCTCATTAGTGTACACCAATTACTAATTTTAAACAAGGTAACCCTTTAACCAGAGAAAATTCATGTCTCTGCAATAACATGGCTTAAATAAATCTCTCTGTCCACTGTGTTTGAGTAGGGCTGGTACTTTCCTCCCAGCATGTTCTCTGCCCTCTATGTTTCAATGGTTGTCTGAGTTGCAACAACTCCTGCATCAGTCTCTTTTGGTCTTTAGTGGTCAACCTCCTCCCATCATGTCTGAGACTGGGATATAGATGTGGTTTCCAATATGCCCTGATCCTTTCAGGATTCTCCCAGATTTCAGTGAGGCTGCACACAAATGCTTGCTGCTCCTATCATCCTACCCTTCGCCCTACATGTAGATGTCAGTAGGTAACTATCCCTCTAACAGCCCTTTATACTAGTCATCATTTAGGGTTTGTAAATGTAGGTGCCTACAGCCATTCTGGGACTCCCTGTGGTACCCAGAAGGGCTGCATGGGGTGCTCCCAGCTGTCAGCTGTCTCAGCAGAGGCAGCCAACCCCCACCTGGGTCTGCAAGGTCCCTTCAGTCTGATGGAGAGGACCACAGTAAAAGCAAGTAGCCAAACACCAAATCAAGACAAATTAAAGTGAAAAATGATACACGCTTTTTTGGTTACTGTGATTAACTGTTAAGCAACAAGTGTAAAGTAAAACATCAAAGATTGTGTCAGTTTGTTTGTATTTTGGTTACTTCAAAAAAAGACTGGATTTGAACCAAGCAGCAAATTCAGAATAATTTTGCATGGCTGCAGTTGTTAGGTCAAATGTAGTGCTTTGGTTTTGAACAGGCATTTGTTGAAACCACATCAGTTTTACAAGAAAATAGTAAAACAAAAGAGAGAGAGATTAAGTGTGGAGAGAAAGATCTCTTATCTGTAATGATGTATCTTTCTCTACATTAGGGTCCCAGATCAAGCTCAGAAATGTATTTAACCCTCACCTGGGAGTAAGAGGGAAATCCGTCAAATTTCTTTTGCTGTGGGAGAACAATATGATGGTAACATGGACAATACAGCCAATTCTAATTTTTGAACTTTGTTTTGGGTGTTGGGTTTTTTTTTTTTCTCTCTCTTAGGTTTGTTTTGTGTATTTCTCACAAATGTGTATTCCATTCCATTAACTTTGATGCTGCTCGATGTCATTCCTGGGTGAGCTTTAGTCACTGGCAAAAGTGCTCAAAAAGATTTGCCTTTCTTCTGTGCTTGTGGCTGTTTACGATCCTTCCTTCTCTCTTTTTCAAAAACTGTTGTTTTATTCACAGATGTGGAAAAGAATGGAAGGGAAACCGTTGCCACATAAGTGCTAAGCCTCTTCAGCCTCCAACTTCAAGTCTCCTCCAACATGGTTAGTCTGTAAAAAGAAAGAATTATCTTTCAATTCATTTTTTGAGTGTTTCCATGTACTTATTTCTGGCTTTGATTGCTCTGATTTTGCAGATATTTGGATTGGGTTGGGTATCGCTTTCTTACTGATTAAAATTACAGCTGCTGCCTTGTATTTCCTTTTGAAGAAGAAAGTGCCAGAAACGTAAGTGAAACTTTTATTTTGTGTAAAGCAGAGACAAATGTGGCAAAAAGTAATGGCTAACTGCCCAGCCTCTTTGGTTTCAACTTTTAAATCACCCCATAGTCTGTTTGCCTTCATATGCAACACTACGCGGAAAACCTGGCTTTGCAACAAAAGCTGACCTTAGTGGACCCCAGTCTGGAAACAATAAGTTATGGCTTGACTGCTTAGAATATTTTGATTAAAACGTTGAATGATTATTCCTGAATTATAAAATTCATCAGTTATCCACCTTAGCAGTAACCCTGATTTTTGTACATGATAGTTACCTGGGAAAAATAAAAAATATTTATGTTTTCTCAAAGTCTCCCAGGCCAAATTGGTTTCTTATAGGCAGATTCACAGCTCTTTCTGAGTACCACAAGCACCTGAGGAGACATTATTTCCCTAAATATTTCAATATTTCTCCACATCTGAGAACTTTTTCTGTCATAACGGAATGGACTAAAAGTGAAGTTTTGCTATTTCAAAATATTAGGGGTTTTCATAAAATGCTTTAATAGATTGGAAAAAAGGCAAGTGATGATATTGCAGAATTATGCAACCTTTTTTACAAATCATAGTGTTTGCCCCATCTCCTTTAGTTACTACAGACACATTCACAACCAGACTTTTTGTTTTAATGGTTTATTACTCATTTATTCAGTGGTTCTTTAGATGTGTCTCACCAATGTCACATTGTCTGTTCCTTCCACCCTTTTCCCCTACCACTTTGTCTCGTACCCATTATCCAATACTGGTATCTTGCACTAGGATCACCCCAGTACAGATCTCTTGGATTGTGCTACAAGGACCTGTCTTACTAGTGGTGAATGACAGCTCTATATGGGAATTTTTTTTTCAAAATCTCTATTTCTTTCATCCAGTACAATGCTTGCTATTAGTACTCTGCAAATAGCAACTAAATTTTCTGCTGATATCATAAGCATGAAGTGCATCCTCAGTAAAGGGAAAAAAAGGCGACAAAATTGGTGGTGGTTTATTTCAATATTTATTTCAACTGCTTTGAGTAACAGTACTAGTACTCCTGGAATTACCTCTTGATCCAGTTATTTGATTTCAGAGATTTTTTAAGATATGCCTTAAACTGACAGTTGATTATTTCAGATATATTTTTCCTAGCCCTTCTTGTCATCCCTCTGATAACCTCTGCTTTTTCTCTCCTTAAAAATTTAAGATTTTAAATTTTTTTTTCTGTTTTTTATTTTTCTCTAACACTTGTATTTCTTCTCTGACCACCTCTTGACTTATTCTGCTAGATCCTCCTCTGTCAGCAAGTACCTACCACTCTCCCTTCTTCCCTTTCAGCAATTCCTGTTGTGCATTGCCTTGTCTATTTTCATGTTGTTAGATTTCCCTCACCCCTCATTTTCTTCTCCAGAATTCATCTTCAAAGCTGTCTCTTAGCCTTTAAACTTGTGCTCTGCTATAGACCTTTTTCTCTTTGGGGATGTTGTTATCTCCCAAACTATCTACTAAACTGTGCAGACTCCTGTCTTGACGTTATTGCTGCTGACACGTCCCCTAACACTGCACGCTGCCCCTGACAGGTAGAGTTGAAGATATTGAAGCAGGAACATTTAGTGACTGTGTTACTGTTAATTGAGTGCATAGCTGCACCTACTTCCTTTATGTCTGCTTCCTCTTTCGTAAAGTGGGAATAAAAGAATTTCCTTATCTTACTGCATAGGGGCTTTAAGACTTAATTCAGTCACATTTATATAATCTGTTAAAGTACACATATGGAAAGGCAACTCGAAAGTGTAAGATAAGTTGTATTGTAAGAGCTGTTTGATTTTTTGGTTTTGTAATTTCTATTAATATTTTTGAAAAAAAATCTCATGTTTTTCTCAAAACATGTTTGATGTTTTAATCAATTAATTATTATTTTTTCTCCTGCTACTTCTCCTGTGTTCTAAACACTCCCTTCTACCTTTTTCTTTCATAAATATCTGCTTAAGGTTACTGAACTGCCATTCACTTCTCTTCTACATATATATCTGTATTTAAGGAACATTTTTTCTTTTCTTGTAATTATACATGTTAAAAAACAATAGACAGTCTTTTTTGTACATGAAGAAGTACCGTGTTGGAATATGATGCCAAACACTTGTGTTCTTTTAGGCATGTAATGAAACAGGCATGAATGAGGATCTTCTTAGTATGGCACTAAGAAAACATTGCAGCCTTGACATGAAAAGAGTCAGAGCTGTGAAACAGAGTTAGATAGTTTACACAGCAAAGATCATTTTGGTCTTGATTGTTTACACTAGAGCTGCCAAAAATTTAGCTTATGATGATGGAAATTTTTGTCATTCAAAGCTTTGTCTATTAGGAACAGACTAAGGTTGTCAAATAATTTTGTCCATTGTACAGGAAAAAAAAAACCCCACCATTTTCATTGGTTTTAATCAGAACAGACTTAATATGTAAGTTAAAATGTATTTTATAGGCATCTTATCAAGAAATAATTTGTTAATAAATGGCAATTTGATTGAAATTGTGAAATCGTGAAAACAATAAAATTTGAAACTTTGAATTTAAGAATTTATCTTCCATTCAGGGACTTTGTGTCTCCTTCAGCTACCCAGTGCCTAGCATGGTTTGGAATACAAAAATCACAGCTAGACACATAGAAGTAAATTTAGGCAAGTTATTCCTTAACTGCTTAATCGGAAAACAGAAGCGACTTATCAAAATGAAGCTGATGTTACACTGAAGTTTGGATCTTTACGGTTTTAGAATAAGAAGTCACTTGTGTTTGCATAAATCTGTAAAATGTACAATGTGACAGCACCAAACAGAGGCATGAGACTTTTTTTTTTTTAAAGGGATTTGATGAACTAGAGGAATTTAACTGTGCACGTGAATGATACTTTCTTCCAATTCAATTTCACTTCAAAGACTTGTGTCCTCTTTCAGCCTTCCTGGGTCATGTTTTCTTGAAGTCAATAGGGACACTCCAGGAGTGCCTGCTTGGCCATTCTTTCACAGGGAAGTTTTCACACACTAGAGACCCTATTTACTGCCTTTCAAAAAATTCTTTTGCTGGCCAATTTTTGATGGTTTCTACTAGTGTCTGCTTTTTTCTTACTGGTATAGAACCACACAAGCAGGCATTGGCAGATTGCCCTCCAGAGGCACATTAACAGTTGTAGATGCTAGCTACCAGGATATTTTAAAATGGAATGCAGGTCCATCTATGTCTCAATGGAAATAGCACAGGAATGTCTACAAGAGCCCAAGGAAAAGTTTCAGAGTCCAATAGGACTAAGTTTTTTTTCACCAGAGAACCAAGTATCAGACAGTAGGTATACACTGGTGACCCCTTAAACAATTGCTGGCTAAGAAGTTGTCACTAACAGTGGTGAGAATCTAAGTTACATTTGTCCCTCTTTTTCTTCACTGGGAAGATTATCAGTCTTAGTGCCTTAACCCCTCCTTTCAACACAGAAATAATGCCCCGATTCCCCTTTGCTCTTTCCTTCTCCTTCATGAGCAAGAATTTCATCTCTGATCTGCAGGCTTTAAACTCTTCAGTGCCTGAGTGGGAGTTACTGGAAGTCATGTAACTGTATTTCTTAATGGACAGAAGGAGCCCGCCACGTGGCTTGGCAGCAGTGTACTTCATTACCACTATGGCATTCAGATATGCAAGCTACTTCCCAGCTCCCAGCTGGGGATACGTGAAACTTCTGTATAGAAACCTCAAATCAGAGGAAGCTTCTAAATTTCTCACATGACTGTTCATGCTCCAGAGGTGATGTTTTCTAGTCCAGAAGGGAAGACTGCCAGTTACTCCACTCCTTCGGTGGCATCTGTCCTATTGACCAAGAGAAGCAAATCTTCATTTTAGCTTCCATTTTATTTCAGCTGCTTTCTCATGCTTCATTTTACTTTAAAAATGAGAATCAAACACTTTTGGACCAGCTAAGCTATGCATCTCCACTGTTGCCTCCAAAGCAGGCAATGTCCCTGGTCCCTTTCATCTTGTTTCTTTCCTATTCTGGATCTCTGCCATCAGATGCAATGCTAATGTATGACATCTGTTATCAGTCCTGTCAGTCATAATGGACACAGAACATTAAATTTTCCAAAGTGTATCAATAATGTATTTTGCCACATAGGCAACAGAGGGAAAAACTGAGGTGCTCTGAGAAAATATTTTTAAATGATAGAAGATCATGGCAAAACAGGACCCACAGAGGCCATTTTTCATCCTGCCACATGACAGGCTCAATTGTATCAGTTCTGGGTTTGCACTTAAAGACCTCTAGCAACATGAATTTGATGGCATCCTCAGGCAATCTGGGTACCTTAAGTACAAAGAAAGTTTACCGTTAGAAAGTTTTTTCTGGCTTCTAATATGTCTGTTTACAATTTAAGTTCATTTTTATTCGCCATGGATGTGAACAGATCATTCCCTTCCCTGTTGCAAAAAGGTTTTTATGTACTTGAAGGCCGTTGTTATGCCTCCTTACAGGCTGTTTCCTTTAGGCTAAACAAGCTCAGTGCTTTCAGCCTTTCTTCATGGTTAAGGTTTTTTTACAATTATGATGATTCCCAGTTGCCGTCGCCAGGACTTACTCCAATTAGACCATGCCCTTCTGGAGGTCTGGTGTGGGGGAAACCGATAGCAAATTCCAGGGGAAGCTGTCCAAGTGGATGTGAAGGACAGCCAGAGGACGTTGCTGCTATGCCTCTGTTCCTATATCCCAAAGTGACAAACAGAATGACAATAGAATGGCATTTATTGAACCATTTTCAGCTTGCAAACTGTAATGGAGACAGATACTGTTCTTGTAGACTTAGAGAAAAAGGTGCGGTTTTATGACAAAAAGAAAAACAAAACTAGGAAAGCAGCAGCCATAACTGTTGTTTGGGAGTCATTTGTTAAATACTGCTATCCAAATCTATTTCTTCTTCTGTAGAATACTTTTTTCTCTGAAGGATGAAACCCAGTGCTATTGTCAAAAGTCTTCAGTTTTTCTGAAATGTACATCTCGCAACCACCACACATAGGAAAGGTTGCAAAGGAACAGAAGGTGACACGCTGAAAGAACAGAGCAAATCTCTAGGTCTGCAGCCTAAGATCACCAAGATGAAAGATGCAAAGGACTGATTTTTAAAAAAATAAATAATTAAGTTCCTTAAGTGACTTGAAAGGTACAAAGTGCATGCCTAGAAAGCCCAGACAGCATATTAACAAGCTAATCAAGCATCCAAGTGACTTGTAGATGATTCTAAATGCAGCTCCTGGAAAGCCTGCCCTCCTTGCATCACGCTTCCCATTTCTTCTGTGGGATGCACAAAATATAGCCTACTTATTCAAACCTAAAGTTGGTTTAAACGATTCTATAAATGCAGTGGAAACGACATCTTGAGTTATAGTTTCAGTTTAGGACAGAAGCTTTAGAACTTCTACAGAGAATTCTTTTAAGGGATTATTTTAATTAGTAGCTTAATTGTAATTGAATCTTTGGCCCACTAGGATTTTGTTATTGTTGTTATGTACCTGATGTTAAACTTTCATCTAGTAATGTATTTCCTACAAATTTGTGTATTGCCTAAAAGAAATATTTGATTTCCATTGAAAGGTACATGAAAAGTACAGAATTCTAAGCTATTGCGACCAAATGAATCAAATATAAATACTTTCATTTCCCATTAAATAGCATGATGTTACTCAGCAGTCCCTTTGTACACTGGCAGTTATTTTCTGGAGCATACAACTTTCTCCCATCTCTGTGAAGTTGCACTGTAGAAAACCTATGACAAGGCAGTAGTTTTTGCCACTAAGGAATGCAGATGAGTTTAGCAAAGCTATGACCCATGTGACCTCATCCCAAGATGATTAATCCTCTCCTCTCCTATTGCAGTATTTCTGGTCATGTTAGGAAACACAGTTCTCTCAGAGTTACCTTATCCCCATATTTGTCTTTTTTTTCTTTTACTTCTAAACCACCCTGTGCTTGGCATTTTTAACCTGAATGATTCCCTGATTGGTGCATCCTTCTGAACTTGACATTTGTAGGTTTTCTTCATAAATTAGATTTATAAGCATTTCACATCAATTATTTATTCTGGACCATATTTTTTTTGTGTGATGAGTTACCCTTGCCCTTACTGTATAGTGGTAACATATACATAACCTTCTTCCCATCATGAGACCTTGTGATGGGCATATTGCTCTTTACTGTAGCAATGAGCCATCATTTTTTATCAGAGCAGTGTTTCACTTATGTCAAGTAACAGCAAGCCCTTCAAGAATGAGCTTAACTCAAGCCGCTACAATAAATTTAAACTCCCCAAGCAAGCAGTTTAAAATTAGGGTGTAAACTGATGACTAAATGGCAACACTTACCCCACTGACTAATACTGCACTTTATGCTTTCCTCAGTAGTTATCTACACTGGTGACAGAGTACTGGAGCGGGCATACCATTGCTTTGCTCTAATAAGGAAATCCTCGTATTTCTAACTATCTAAAGATCTAATTTGTTGTGTTTACTTTGAAGGATGTTTGCACAACATGTAAAGTAATATGAATATGTCATCACAGTTCCCAAGCACAGGTCTTTTTAGGCAGTTACATCATTCAACTGATGAGTTATAGCACTTGTGTAAACTTGTGATTAAATTTCTACTTGCATATTCTTTGAGGTTTTTTAATATATTAAAAAATATTTCAGATTTTTTTAAGGATAATTATTGCTATTCCTTAGAAAGAATTGTTTGCTACATTAACAAAAAAGGTGCAACCATACAGATGCTTGTATAAATACATTCATATATATGCAACTATGTGCTTATATGTGTAGCATGTTACATATAAGGTAATACATTCAAGACAACTTCCAAAGCCCTGTTTTGGCAAAAAGGTTCCTAAGAATAGCAGAGAACTTAAGAAAGCTTATTCTCCACTTTACCTAAATCTGGAGTGCATAAATTCAACCAGTGCCCATATCTGGGGCCACAAAATTCCTATAGTCCCTAAGGTGAGGTGCCCAGCTATATATGCTTTTTTCATGATTCAGACCTAAAGTGGATGGACACCTGAAATCCACTGGACAACCTGAGCAAGAGTCAGTTTTCGTGCTTGAGAAAACTTCACACACAGATAGGACCAATTTCAGCACTAAACACTGCAACCACAGACACTCTGTTGAAGAACTCAGCCAGCACTCTTTGTGGTGCCCAGTTTGGCACAGTGTCCTTCTGAATAGTTATTCTCCTTGCAAAGGAAGCTGGAGAGCTGTGTTCAGTGTCCTTCCTGCCCTCATGGCAGACCTAAGTACTCATTGGGTTCTTGCCCAAATCAGCAATATATAGGTCCTGCAAAAATTGCTTAAGTTTAATAGGGGAGTGGGGCTGAAAGAGAATCAGACCCATCCCTATCCTTATATTTTCCTGTTGTCACATTAAAGATAGTTTCATGCTGTTAGGCCATACAGTTTGTTTGTGATGTCTAAATGTGACACCAAAATTAAGGCATGTAAATCTGGCCCTTTGGGCACTAGTTTAAAAGCAGCACCAAGTTTCTTGAAAACTTTTTATCTAAGTTTGCTTCTGGCCTAAGTTTTTGTAAGCCATGGTGTAATTTTAGTGGAAAAAATCAATTCTGTATACATTTTGTAGACTTTTTTTCAGGGGGATTGGTATGCATATATACACTTAGGAGGCATATAAATAACCTAATATGTTATAGTTTCACTAAAGTAACTAAAACCACCAGAATACCATGATTTATTACAGTTAAGATTAAGATCAAATGAACAAATCATCGGGTTCAAACATTCAGCTCTCCACATTGCTGTGTCAGGCAATTAAACTGAATTACGAAACTAGCATTAGAAGGAATTACTTTCTGTTGGTCTTGTTGTGAAAGATTTTAAGTAGTCTTGTTGGTTTTAGTTTAAACCCCAAACTTAGTTTCCTGTACCAATTCAACTCATAAGGTGACGTATTTCTGTAGCCTACCTGTGCCTTCTTCCGGAGCATCCATTCTGGTTTTGGTTCTTTTGAAAAGAAAACATGCAGTGTGTCTCCCCTGTGGCTCCTGCTGAGGTAAACACATTCCTTTCCCAACATCAGCTATGTTCCCGTGGCGGCTCTTGTTCCCTCAGTCCTGCCTGCCACAGTAATGCAGAGCCTATCAGTTCCTAGGGACACACTGCTTAAATGCTCTGAAGGAGCAGCTTTGGAATAGAAACGTTTTTTAATACAAGAAAATCCATCTCTCAGTCATTGAGACTGAGTAATAGTCTTAGGGAACTTTTATTTTAGAACACTGTACAAACACAGCTTTGCATTTACACAAAAGCATCTATATTCATAAATCATCAATAGCAAAAAAAAACCCACCAAAACAAAACAAAACCCACCAAACAACTAAATGCATCTCTTCAAAAGCCAAGACTAAAAAAAATAAGAAGGTGTGCTTCTGCTTCATTCTTCAGTAATTTTAATTAAGGCAACTGTTGCTTTTTATATGTCATCGGAACAACTTTGATGATTTCAAGCATTGTGGAATATTAACAACTAGTCATGTATATGGAAAAAAATTTAGATGTAGGCAGACAGTTCTATCCTCAAATATCCTTTGCTTTTACAGAACTAATGAGATTAACTGCACAGGTCATAACAGGTTCAAAAAAAAGGAATACGTCAAGGGCTCTGTCAGGAAAGCGTATCTTTAAACTTCTAGCTGAGGAAATGGACACAAGACTGTACAATTTGTCCCATTTTATAAATTGTTAAATTGGTTAAGACATTGTGTTCATCCATGAAACCTTAGCATGCCAATAACTTCAGTGATCCTTTAAAAATTTCTGATTTGTAGCAAAAAGTTTGGGGAACATCTGTAGCTTTAATTCTGATAACTTTGACCTAAAATGAAAGTTCTTTCTTAATTAATTGGAAAAAAAAGAGTTCTTATAACAATTAAATAACTAAAGCGTTCTTCAACTTGGAACCTAAGACCCTGTTAATTACTGAATTGCTAGCATAATAGGAGCAAAACACAGGAAGAATATGATCTCACTACATGCAAGTACATTATAGCGATGTAACCTTTGAGCTACTATCATGTTTTATTTAATGTATAGCACAGTATCTGCATTTATGGAATAATTAATAGCTCTGTGCATATCCAAAAGCATATATATTTTTAAAAGCAAAAAATGAAAAATTATTATTTTAACCTACACATGACTTACACAGAGCATTTGTTTAATTTTATTCATTTGACTAGAGCTCAGTTGGAAATGTATTTAGCCGTCTGTATTTTTTGACTCAAGTCTTTTCAACCTGAAACTGTTTGGTTCTTTGACAATTTATGTGATACTGTGGGTGGTTTTGTTGTTGTTTGCTTGACTTTTCAAGGAAACTGGAGGAAATCACTAATGCTTCGTTTGCCAACCCATTGTACAAAGACCTTAGTTCATCTGGGAAAGTAAAGGTAAGTAGCAATAGATGCTTCAGGAGAATGTGAGGTTGTAGTCTTCAGATAAGTTTTCCATTAAAACAGCGTCATCCCTCACTAAATGCTATTTAATAAAAGAAGCAAAATTTAAAAATTCCTGTTTTACTCAGATCAGTTCTAGTGCATTTTCAAAACATAGGCAGATTTGAAATCAACTCAGTTTTAAGAACATCTTGACGTTTGTAACTAAACATGAGTGTGGGTTGCTGAATCCGAGAAAAAAAAAGAGTTTTGGATCAAATATTTAACCAGACATATAGAAGAAAAAGCTCACTGAGACTTGTCTCCTTTTATTTCTGGAAAAAATAATATGAAGCACACCCCCAACAGTAAAAACCCAACAACAACAAAACACAGAATGGATAATTCAGCACCCAAGTTGTCTTTGCATACTCACTTAACTTTAATAAAATAGTTTATGACACTTTCCAATACTTGGAATATGCATTATTATTCCCATCACTGTAAAATTCACCTTGACACTGAACAAACACTTAGACATACATTTCCCTAATACCACTTGGTGATTATAATTAAAAGGCTGCTAAAGTAACAAAGAAGTTTGTGAATAAAACATAAATATAAGAGTGAACATATCACAACAAAAGATTTCAAGTCAAGATTTAATTAATCAAATTACAGTGGTAGCTAAAATTAACATTTTAAATTTAACAAGAGAAATATGATTGATTTAAAATGCAGTGATCCCTACAATTTGATTTATCATTGAAAATAATACAGGCAAAGCACCTTGGAGGTAAAAGGAGCAAAAAAAAAAAAAAAAAAATGTTTCAAACATCCTTCTTGCTCTCATTTTGATAGTACTCTTGTTAGCTTTGAAAGAACTAGGCTTGGTTTGAATCAAAGTAGAAATTCCTTGTTCTTTCCACAGTCAGTAATATAAGATTCCACTGCAGCTTTGAATAGGATTAACTATGACATGCCATTTACTTTCTATAAAAGGTTCCTTACACCTGATTTTAGAGACATTAGATCAAATTAATTTACTTACAGGTTGGGGTTTGTGAGAGCTCCAAGTTGGAAACATTCCCATCACAATCATGTCCAATTTATCAGGACATTTTTATTTTGGTTAAAATAGATTCCTGACAGCCTTCATTTAATAGCAAGTTGAAAAACAGAAGCACAGTGTCAGGAGAGACATTTTCAGAGAAGACAGCCCCAGGCACTGTGATTGAAGTCCGGTGCTGTACCAGATTTTCCTATGTTTAAGATTGGGAAAATATGTATTTGCAATAATTCTTCCTTTAAAAAGGGAAAATGAGAGTTATGAGTTTTCTCTGAATCTGATGAGCCTTAAATCTGAATGGTGTATCACCAATCAAAAGATACAGTAAAATACAAGCAACAGCTCTTATCTCTAGCTGAACACTCACAAGCTACGCTCCTGCGGGCATCTAAAGTCCAAACACCAAAACCACAGGGGCCTAGTGATGCCACACTCCTACCTATAAGCTTGCCATGCAGTTTTGGATCCCTAGAGTGTATTACTCAGAGAGCCGCATGGAAGGATATTTTCGGAATATTATTTGTATCTCACTAAAAATATTCTGAAGCAGTTTTTATCTTTTTATAGTCTCCTGAAGATGCCACCTCACCCACTGTTCAAATAAGTGTTTCTCCATGGCATGAGGTATGTAATAACACATTTCTCTTCTAAAGCAGGAGCTGTGTTGAGCTATCAAATAGAATTCATTTTCAGAGGAAAGGGAAAAAGGCCATTTAAAGGCAATGGTATATTACTACGCATAATGTTAGCACCTCTAGAAATCTGAAAAAGATGACCAGGGTTGGATTGGCTGACAAGGACCTCATAATAATGATTTCATTAATGTTGCTTACTACAGCTCTTTATTACACCATATGGTAGTTCAACACTTTCCAGTAAGGCAGATGCTGAAGAAAATGTTTATACTAAAGAAGTCCTTATATGAAGAGTTCATATTATCTCTTTTCATACCTTCCTCATTCAAGAAAATTAGATCTGGTCATTTAATTTACAATACTGTGTACCAAAATTAGTGATGCACTGCAATTACACTGTTGTACACAGATTCTCCCAAATTAATACTACATGTGTGTTAGACCAAGAACTCTGGAGATAAGTAAAACAAAGATGAGAACAGATGCAGAAGACCTGATCAGATGTGTGTGGTGGAAAATGGTGGATAATGGTGGATAATTAACATAGTGGATCTATGCTAATTATTATCAGTTGAAAATCTGATCTGAAATGTTTAGAGATTGTATAGTTTTCTTTGAACTTAACATCATATATTACTCCTGTAATGAATCTACATCCATTCATGTCTTTTCTAACAAACAAACAAATTGAATGACTTGGTTTCTCAATTTCATTCCGTGTTCTTTCCTTTAGTATCTGTTTAATGAAGATGTGAATGCTACTTCTTTTACAAATCCACTCTATGGTGAAGAATCAGAAGACATGGAGAAATTATGTAGTTCCTTGAAAATAGACATAAACCAGGATCAATATTGCTTGTAACTCTTTGCCTGAAGATGCATCCTAAAATTTGAAAGTATGTCATGATACTGTAGCATTTACAATATGAATTAATACCTCTTTACAGAATAATTCTTTTATTAAAATAATTATGTTCAGAAATGTTGTATTAAATGTTATATTATATATGTTATATTAAAATTGAATCAATACAGAAATAAAACATAGTCTTCTGTCATTTCTGTTGATGTAGAAAGAGATTGGTAACTATAATTATGAATTCATTTAACATGTGTATGGTTTAACTTCCAGTATGTTAATAAAATATTTAATTAAATCCAGATGTCTGAGATTTGGAAATCATAATTTTATGTCTATTTTTTGAGAAATGATGACTTCAATATTTCTGTAATTTTGCATTAGAAAGAAATTTTAAATGGCTATTTTAGTGTTCCAATGGGCAGAATCAATAAGCCTGGTCCATGACATGTCCTAACTACAAACTTGAAAAGAAGCATCAACAGCTATCTGTCCCAGAGATACACGTGGTGATCAGCTGTTGTACATCTGGCTGGTTGTCAGCACAGGTAACAAACTCACACTGCAAACTCTCCTCCTCTGTGCCCCTGAATCTGGAGGGCTGTCTCCTGTCCCTCTGCTACTTTAATGAAGCTGCTCAGAGCTTCATGCCTTTTGTACGCACACCTGCCTTAATGCCAAGTCTAGCTGGAAGGTACCAAAGGTTATTCATGAAGATTTTAAATAAGAAACTGTGACAACAGGATCACACATGTTGTTTTCTTTCTGAAACAAGATTAGTAAGTCAGAAACATAGAAATTACTTGCTATACTTGTACTCATTGAGACACAGAGAAGACACTTGATCCAGCAAAGTGCCAAGTGCCTCTGGCAACTGAACTCTGGTATTTTGATAAATCTGTGTGAGATGATTGATCTCCACATTATAAACAGACATTGAATATTCCTACAAGGTCAAGCTTATGTAGACAAATTCTCATTTATTCTGCAGTAGACTAGCACTGCTTTCAGAATTTCATTAAACACTAAAATGCTGGATATTCTAAAATGCTAGTTATTCTATAGTCCTTTAATCTCTAATCATTGTGTCACACTGTATCTTTAAAAAATGGCAACAATGAAAAGGATAAAACTAATTATGGTAGAATTTATCACATTCTCCCTTATGAAAAAAAAAATTAACTATTAATGGTACTTAGAGTTTAATTTTAATGTCCTAAATAAAAGCATATTATTATAAAAAATTATTGGAAAAGAAGTCAAAGAATATAATATTTCTCATCAGCAGCTATTTCCCGAGAGAACTGTGACTCTTCTGGATTATCTCTGAAACAAGGTAGGCTTTTCACCAAAATAATTTTCCATTTTTATAATTGATAGAATGTTTTTTAAAAAAATATTAAAATTCAGAATTTTCATCTACCTGAACTTCAACCATTTTTTACTATTCTTATTTCACCAAGAACAAAAGACTTTCTTATATTCACTGTATGTTTTTTGTGTCTTGCAACAGATGACTAATGACAGCCAAAAATTATCCTTTTTATTTCATTTTCTGAAACTTTTAAGTACTTTGAACCAAAGCAGTAGAATTCACATTTTCAGTCATCCTTGCCTCAATTTCAATTTCAAAATCTAAAGAATATGACATGCAAAAAATTACTATTGAATATTTTTGCATAGGTTTATTACTTCTCCCAATTAATAGTAGCCCTTGACTAAATACCCTCTGTAAGCTCATGCTGTTATTGTCATAAATTCAAAGTAGTAAAAAGGATTTGTTTCCAAGTGGCCTGTTTTCTGGGACTAAATTAGAAGATGGATACTCTATGCAGATGATGAATACTTAGACTAGTTTAAACATGTCTACATTAACGATCCAAGGTAAGAGATCCAAGGGAACAGATCAAAACATAATTTAATTACAACAGAAATTTGTAGTATATTTACTATTCTATTATAAAACCACTTTTTTTTTTCCTTACCTTAATATGGCCAAAGAGCAGCATAATCTTCAGCCTAGAAGAGGATCCAAGAACATAAAGCTTGACCTAAGTGTTCAAGTGGTGTGAATGAGGTGTAGTAGCTAGGGTGGCTTGTGATGTGACAATGAATTTATTGTAGTCCGCTGGCCCTCCATGGATCAAAAGCTAAAATATGTCTCACAACATTGGTTCCAACCACTAGAAAGATTTTTCCCATTCTGATAGTTCAATGATTTTTTAAATGTATATCTCTCCTTTTGACTTTTCTTTATTAAAGGACTTCATTTGCTCTTTTATTTCTGACCAGTGTCAAAGTATTATGTTCTGGAGAATACCTAGTCAAGTTCAGGGAAATGTTTAGGCAACAGGATGAAGCCATAAAAAAGTAATCAGCTAAAGGGGAAGGTGAGTATTCTACATTTCCAATGAAAATGTGAGTCTCTGAGGCAAGTCAGCAAGGCACACTCGACTGGGTTAAATGGGATTAACAGGGAGAAATGAGCACACATTATTCATGGGAATTCTTTAATCTTCTGTGTAATTATGTGATCATTCCCAGAACAAAGACTGATTGATCATAACAGGAGGGAAAAGTCAGTTAACACTCAGCACAAGGATTAGCATCTAGCTTTGGAGAACACCAAGAAAAAAAAATATTATCATCTGGTGCTTTAATATTTTCTGCATATTTTAAAACTTTGGGATGCTACATCTAAATAATTGAAAAGTAATTATAAGTAATCTTTCTCTGTTTTGGTTTTTTTTTTTCCCCAAAAGAAAGCAGTTTTCATTTTGTTCTTCATTATACTCTTTGAGTCCTATTCCCTGAAGTCACTCATTTTTCTTTTTTTCAGCTACTTAATGCAGGTCATAAAACAATATAATTCTGTGACAAGTATTTTATGATACATATGGTATGTGTGTTTGTAAAGCTTTAGTCAACCTTATTATGGTTTTGATATCTAAGAATTGTAAGAATACAACTGACTGAGCAGTAACATATAGTTATGTTAGAAACATGTTATGTCAAGAACATTAACATTAGTACTCTATTTGGTATTCACATGGACATGTTAGCACGAAGTTGACTTTAATAAGCACTACATTACAATAGGTCTCTGATGCAACTGTGCATTAAAGCTACGTTAGTAGTTATTCAACATGATTCATGTGAAGTGTTGCCAGGGAATTAATAATGATTTGTTTCTTTTTGTAAATGGGACTGTGTTCATTGTAAGAATGTGATTAATCATGTAATAAATTAACTCAAGGAGTAAGTACGACTCTCAGGGTTATATGCTGCCCTGAGCCTATATGCAAAATTGCTACTGACACAAAGCAAATCAAAAGGATAAAGGGATATACTCCTAGGAATATACTCCTAGATATATACTCCTATACTGATTCAGAATAACCAGACCAAAAAAAGGATTAAATTACTCTGTAGTTTTTGTTTAGCTCTCTTGGTCTGCAGGTGGTTTCTCTGGACACACCTGAAAAAATTCAATGGGCAAAAGATGTTCAGGTTGAAAAGTTCTTATAACTCATACAACTTCTTTTGCATATGTTAACCAATCAAGGCAACTTTTAAAAGAGTGTTTTACTGCATTTTAGCAACACTTCAGCTGCTACTTTAAACCACTTCAAAATTTGCCTATTTTACTACCTTAGTTAACCTTCTCTTGAAGATCTGTTTCTCACAAGTGACAGTTTTGAAAGACAGCATTAATATATTTTGATTTACTCTCATTTTGTTTTCATGTTTGTATGCCTTTCTATTTCACCTTAATTTTTTTACCAGAAAATAGGTACATGTACAAGTAGTACATGGGAAACCCTATTCAGTTCAGTTTTGACAGAACTTGTCTTAGAATATGTATGGGGTAAAATAGTGAGAGGGAAGGGACACAATTAATCTCAGTATATACTCAACGTACTAAGGTATCTAGGAATCAAGTTTTTTGTTTTCATATTTGTGTCCTGTTTGTGACCCATTTCCTCAAAGAATAAACTAACATGCCTTTTAAATTCTTTAAATTCATTGTATATTATCCTAAGATCATTTTTAGGGCATTTAACCAAAATAAAAGTGGGAATAAAAAACCCAAAACAATTCAGACCAAAAATTGTGGATTTTAATAGCAGTGGGAATTCTTGAAAAAATCTCCAGTAAAAAGTTGCTGCATAAAATGTTGCCTATAAGTAGGGACATGTGGGCTCACTCTTTATATATAGCTTTTCATCCTCCCATAAACAGCAGATTCACTCACCACCTCGTGCATTCCTTCAAAGCTCTCTTGAAATGAAACTGGAATGTAAGGGGTACCCAGTGCATACAATACACAGATCTCAAACTGCATCTCAAAATGAAAAGTTAATCACAGGGTCATAGAACAGCTTGGGTTGGAAGAGAATTTTCAATGTCATCTAGTCCAACCCTGCTGCAATGAGCAAGGACATCTTTAACCACATCAGGTTGCTCCAACCTGACTGAATATTTCCCAGGATGAAGCATTTACCACCTCTCTGGGCAACCTGTTCCAGTGCTTCACCAACCCTACCATAAAAAAATTATATCTTATATATAATCTAAATCTACCCTCTTTTAGTTTCAAGCCATTACCCCTTTTCTTATCTCAACAGGCCCTACTAAAAAGTCTGTCCCCATCTTTCTTATAAGCCCCCTTTAAGTACTGGAAGGCTCCAATAAGGTCTCCCTGCCGCCTTCTCTTCTCCAGGATGAACAACCCAACTCTCTCAGCCTGTCTTCATAGGAGAGGTGCTCCAGTCCTCCGATCATTTTTGTGGCTGCTGGACGTGCTCCAACAGGTCCATGTCTTTCCTGTACTGAGGACTCTGCAAATACAATTATTTACATACAAGAGAACACATACATATTTACTTACAAGAGAAAACATAAAATCTCTCACTGACCAGGTCACATAGATAGCTTTGATTTCTTTTACCATGGTACTGATTAATCAAGTTGCACATATATGTTATTTTAAATTAAGTTAA